GTATTTATGTTCTTGATAATTCTTTGCTTAATTTGAAGAAGTTTTGAACATAACTTTTCTGGTAATGCCCATATAATTGAAGTACAATTCCTAAAACACATATAAAGAGTTGTCAAGATGCAAGCAAATGTTATCTTTATTAAACTTTTACTTTTTCTAGATCTATGTTCTTCATAATACTTTGCTTAATTTGAAGAACATAATTCAACATAAAGTACAATTCCTAAAATACATATAAAGAGTTGTCAAGAGGCAAGCGAATGTTATCTGAGATATACGTTATTTAGATGACTTCTAGTTGACTGGACATTCAAATTATATTTTTCTAGATCTACTTGTATGTTCTTAAAAATACTTTGCTTAATTTGAAGAAGTTTTCAACATAATGTTTCTGGTAATGCCCGTACACTTGAAGTACAATATCAAACACTAGTTATTTGTTATTATTAGATCTCAACTGGATGTATCACACATATACAAGTATACACACTCTGGATAGTAATTTGTTTATTAAATGGAATCACTGATGTGCTGCCTTTTTAGTTGAGATACAAAAGAATCAATCGTTAAAGAACTCATTTAAATTGATTTCTAAGAAACGAAATTAACAATGACGGACGTTATCGTTTTGACTAAAATAAACAATAAATATAGCAAAATTCTTCAGAATTGATTCATGCCTGTCTCTATGTACGCTATTATCTAGTGGTGTTCAGTTTTTTCATAGGCCCATCTATTTTTTATTTTCCTTTTCTTTTATTTTCAGACTCTTATTATACTTATTATAAACCTTGTATAAATTGGATTAGATCTTGTAGTCACCAACATGTTAGCTATGCTTAGCCTATTCAGTCTGACATAAATCTCAAAAAATATAAGAATCATGGTCGCAAAACTTGGGGGTATCCACTTTTCCCTTTATTATTTAAGAAAGGTCCTTACTGCTCTTATTTATTTATTAATTTATTTAGTAAATCAACAAATAGTGCTGTCGATATATATACAAAAACTATGATTTATATAATCATATAATATTATAAAATAAAAAAAAATATATTTAATAATACAAGGTTATAATTTCAACTTAAACAAGATAGAACGCTACAGTCGAGCAAGCCCGACAGTAAAATAGCCTGTACTCTCCACAAAAAAGAAAAATAAAAAAAAAAAAAATTAAAAAAAAAAATTAAAAAAAAAATTATTAAAAAAAATTAATGAATGAATTAATTAATTTAATTAAATGAGAATACATGTTTATGTTCAGTTTTAACAGCATACATTTACATCACGTACCTATGCGTGTTTATATGCGTGTATGTATGCAGCACAAAGTTGAACCAAAGCAGCAACAACAACAACAGCTGCGGGCAGCGCTGCCGACAGAGGCAGCGCATGAGCAGCGATTTTACTTATGGCTATAACTTTCTTCAGAATTGACCTATCATGATGAAATTTGACATACGGACACATTAGTACTAACTGGATGTACCTACCAAAATTGATTTCAAAATTCCGAGAATTACGAAAGTTATAAGAAAAAACACGAATTGCGGGGGAGTGGGGGGGTGCATCGAAAAAAACTCAAACTCGTACTTTCTCGGTCTTAGGAGAATATGGAAACCAAGTTTGGTTATTCTAGCTCTTATACTTTCTGAGATCCTTGCGTTCATACGGACAGACGGACGGACAGACGGACGGACTGACAAGGCTATATCGACTCGGCTTCTCATCCTGATCAATAATATATATACTTTGTGGGGTCTGCCACGCCTCCTTCTGTGTGTTACATACATGCGCACAAAACTAGTATAGCCTTTCACCCTTTGGGTACAGGCTATAAAAATAAGAAAGCCATATGTAGTCAGACATTATAGACCTAACAGGCTAAAAAAATAGTAATTACAGAAGGAAAAGTAATTCTACTTAACAGCTTATTAACCATAAAGAGAAAGAGTAAAAGGGAAATCTCCAACCCTGTGGGGGACAATTTAAAAGCCAGTCCGACTTACTGCAGTAAGTGGTCAGAGATTTTCGCGGAGATACCTATAAATAAATAAATTATAAATTTTATAGAACAGAGAGAGAGAGAGAGAGAGAGTTCTGTCGAAAGCAAATTATATCACCGACAACTAGCTTGTGGAGAAAAACTACTCCAAGAACAGCCCTTACTTAATCCCTATAAACTGTACATATTTGGCCCGATCAGGGGGCCTAATAGTTTATATTTAGCTTCTACAAGTATAAACAATTTTTACCACTGTTCCAAAATTTGGTCGTGCAAGCTGTTATTCCCTATTTTTTCGGTTTAGTGCGTGCAAAATGTTTCTATTTTGATTGGTCCGTGGGAGCATGTGGGGGTGCAAGTGTGTGTGTGTGTGTGAGTGTGAATGGCAGAAGTAATGGCAAAATAAATTTAAATACATTTTGTACAATTAGTTGCGGGCAAATGGGTTTGACGTCGTTGCGATTGAAACAAACGTTTAGGTTGCCAAAATGGCTGCACATTTATATGAAGATTTATTTCAAAGATATCGCAACGTTGACATTTTCCACAACACTCGGATTAGAAAGGGAAGTGAGCCCACAGTTAGCCCATGTTGACCTCAATGCGTCTAGACTCCAACTGTGTTCAGGAAGTATAGGTGTAAAATATTGGCCCTAAATGCAAACCGAAATGCGCGTCTACTTTGATTTTTATTTTCTGCCACTACGGACTATTTTCGCGCTACGGAAGCAGGTGAGAGGCCAAGAGAGAGACATGACAGGTTGCCGGCTGCCAAGAACCGTGTCGAACATCGCATTTTGTTCAATAGGCAATGAAAGTGATTTGGAAAATTGGCAATTTCGGCAATACTCGTATGTGATGGTTGGCGAGTGGGCGTGCCTTCCAACCTTTTGCGCAATATAGTAGAGCAAAAAAGCAACAAGCGCCAAAAATTATAATTAAGGCTCTGCACACCACACACACGCACACTGGTGTAGTAGTTTGCAACACAAAAAACTGCCAAAACACACACAAACCTCACAAAAAAGAGAAAAAAAATTAAATAATGACCAAAATAACTATTTGCCTAGGTAGTTGTTGTTGTTGTGCGTGCTAATGCCACACTTTATGGCCGCCGCCGCCAACGCCACCAACACCACAGAAACATGCGCCACCACCCCAAAAAGTAGGCTATGCATTGCCTCTAATGCCTTCGTCATTATTATTATATCCACAACACATACATACACACACACACACACACACACACTCATACACGAGGACAAGACGAGGAGACGAGGTCGAACTTCGGCTTCAACAGCAACAACAATCAAATTTCAACAGCCAAATACACGAAGGTAACTAACAACAAAACATTGCTACACACATCCCTGCAAATAAACATATGTAAATGTACACTGAGAAAAAATAAGAGAAACATGCAGGTATTATCCTAGAAAATCCACTACCATTGGTGAAGTTCTATAAGTTGGGTCGCAAAGTTGAAATTGAATTAAATGTTTGTAAATCTTAAAAATTCTACTTTTTAGGTAATGGAATGTTTTAAGCAAGTTTAATCAATAAAATGATCTTCATCCAATTTGTGTTGTAAATCAAGAGAAAGGAATGCAGACTTATAACAGGCCTACTCCCAATTGCAACAGAAGACTGATGCAGGAAATAGAAGGAATCGCTGAAACACCTTCTCCCCAAACCGCTCTCCGAAATGTTTTATAATTCCCTTGCGATATTTTAGACCAATTCGGCCCATGTGGGACTAACAAAGGCGGTCCATTGGTCTAAACTGACACTGGTTTTGTATTACTAAAATCTACAAGTATATGGCAAAGCGTTATACTTACACTTTAAAAGCTAGAAAAGCCTAAGTATTGAATAATTTTTAATAAATACAAGTAATACCTAATATCTCATAAGTCCAGCAGGCTTTCTTGACAATGTAATAATGTAAGAATGATTGTAAATAAAGCAAGGCAAACATACTGAATAGAAATGGCATTTGTAATACTTTAAAAGTTAGTAAAATATATTAATATCATCTCAAAGATCATCAAGTTGGTAAAGTTTTCTTAACAATAATGTCTATACCCAGTTAAGATTAATGTCTGCAGAGGGGAAAGAGATAAACTTAGTTTTCGCACGCGAATATTACTAAAATTATATTCTCCGCTTAATCGATAAACCTTGTTATATTTATTTTGAGATTTTTAACAAATGGTTATAATGAAGAGGTAATTTGTGAGATGGAACAAGCTTAGCATCATCAGCATACATCGACATAACAGAATCTAAGAAGGTATAGGAGAGATAGTTAATAAATAAACTTAAACAAATAATGATCAAGTTTTATTTTAAGTTACATGAGGATGCTTTGAGAACTTTTAAACACTTAGTAGCACTGATAAATAGGTAATAAGAACTAATAACTTATGAGTGCTCGATTTAAAACTATACATACAAGTACATTAAAGTTAGAGATCAGTTCCTTCTAGTTTTCTCCGAGTGCAGGCAAGTACAGTATAAAGCAAACAAAAAAATTCCATCTTAGTTAACGAAAGTCACACGAATTGCGACGACAACGACAATGACGACGAGGACTTTGACTTGGACTTTTAGTTTTAGTTTCAGTTTCAGTTTCTGGCACAGAGAGAAATGCGTTAACGCTATACTTGTACTATACTATGGTATTCCACAAATTACCCGTACGTTCTGAAAGCAAATCTGCCTAGAGAGATTTTGAGCCGTCGTGCCTGCCCACCTGCCTGCACACATTAATTTATTATTGTCGTGGGGGAAGGTTGGGGCGAACAGTCTTGGCGCCAAGCGTGCGCGAGTAGAGCTAAGTAGCTCGCTAGGCTCGGGGACCCCAAAACTTAAGCTCCGTGTACGCCAACAAATTCTTCACTTGCATTTCGAACGCGCAGGCGAACGGTTCGTTGGGTTTCTCAAAGAAAATTATTCAAATAAAGAAGAAATAAAACTAATTGTAAATAACAAATAAGCGTTGATACACAATTTTTGAAGTAAACAATAAAAAATTCTGAAATATATACATATATACTATACTACAACCAAAACAAGTGACTGGAGAAAGAGTGCAAGAGTGACGCTCGCTTGCCAACTTCTTGGCTTGTCTTGGCTTGGCTTGACTTGACTTGGCTTGGTTTGGTTTGGCTTCTTTGAGTTTCGTGCGGCCTTAACTTCTTCGAGCGGAAATAATTTTGGTGTGAAAAATTTGCATAAAATTGCCTAACGGCTTGAGTCAAATAGTTGGGCAGCTTTCAGCTTAGTGCGTGAGAATTTAACGCGTGCAAGGCTAGAAAGGATTTACTCTGAGTCTAGCAATTTTTATATAACTTATCCAGTAACTTATCTGAGTGCTAGTGAAAGTTCTAAAAATCAACATGCAGCCCTTAAAACGATTCACACAATGCGGCAGCCTGACCATGCTCTTTGGCGTCTTCATCATTCTATTCGGCGTCAGCTCGACGGCATTAACAACGTTTGGCAAAACCAACAACCAACCGCCTCCGCCAGTTCCCATAGGTGAGTTAAAGCGCCGTTCCACTCAGATGATAAAGTACGTACATAAATGAGGAATCTTAGAAAAGAAAGGAACCGAAATGTACAAGCATTTGAAATACTTTTAAAGTCGACGAAATATCCAAAGCTTTCTTTCTAGCCTCTAGTTGAGTTGGTAAAGTTTACTTGATATACGTTGGATTGCTTATAAGTAAGCCATACACTAAATTGCAGAGTGGATGGAATTAAAATGGAGTATTTCAAATAACTAGATAGTAAATAAGTACGACTTACCAACCCTTTGGAAAAAGCTGCGTATGCCCTTGAAAGGAATATAAGACCAAGGGATAAGTACAGCTCGAAAAAAGGGCATGACCTTAACTCCAACAAATTCAAATGCTATGCTGGCGTAGCACATATATAAATAAACTACTTTTGATCAGAGAGTGGATTTAACAGCACTTCGAAGAGTTGGGAGATAGAAAGAATTTCTCACTCAAATATCGTGTTTCTTGAACATATAGTATTTCTGAAAATTCGATGCATGGCAATCATAGTAGTAACAAAGATTGTTCAAATAGTTACTGAGAGATTTTTAATTGTCTCAATTTTTGTCAGATTTAAATGATGTTGACTTTAAATTATAATTCTGAGTTCACAATAATTGTAAACCAATAAACCAATAAAAAAGTTTCTCATATTTTAAAATATTTTGAAACAGTCCTTAAAAATGTAAGCCCTAAGAGGTTTATTCTTCCAGAAAACTTTATTTTAATGTACAACCTTTACTGGCTTTAAACAGATATATTTGAGTTTTTCTTATTTTTCGGGAACTAAATTGTTACAAGTTGCAAAATGATTTTATCATTGTATTCCCCATTGAAGAGTTACTTAAAATATAAAACTTTTGATAATCCAATTGATTTTGTAACAGTTCTAAGTATAGCGGTTTAATAAGGAAGTTGAAAACTATTTGAATTAAGAAGAGTAATATTTTACGGCTTAATCTGCAAAGCTGCTCTAAAGACTTGAGAGACAACTTATAAGATTAAGAAAGAGCCGAAGAAGCTTATTCGAATGTCAGCTTTTAATAAAACGGACTAAAAGGTTCAAATACAATTAACATGATATTTTAATATGATTTTTATATTTGCACATTTAATTCTTTTTGTAAATAAAAAAAATGTTTAAAACCCTTCAAAAGTCTAGTTCATCGAGAATGCCATTTTAAATACTATTCGAGGGAAAACCATAATTCTCCAAACCTGTTTCGAAGAATGTTTGCCTGCTTTTTCTATTAAAATTAAGTAAAATATATACAATTGATTAAAACCCAAACTATGTCGAAATCCTGTACAGAGCCGTTTGAACTCTTTTCCTATTTCGCAGCAAAGTGATGATTATATATATATAAGTATTTTACTTTACATTTCTACAACTTATAATAACTAGGCATGGTTAAAAATGTACTCTTTATAAAATGATACAAACGTTATAAGAAAATTTACTATCATAGCTGCCACTAGATCACAAAAAAGAGCAGCTGAAAGTTATATACTATAGGTATTCATAGATATTCCCCATTTTGGAGCTCAAAATTTCCCTAGGTTCAGAGATAATTAAGTATTTCACACAAGCTTCAGCAATACTGCTTCACATTGAAAACTAGAAAAACAAATTAAAATTCCAATTCGAGTGCGTTGTCATTTGGCGAAGGTGAAGCTGCTGGAATGTAAATAAATAAATACTTATTATCATTAATGATAAGTACCTGCATGCATTGATAATTGCTTGAAAGCGCTGGTGCTGGCACGTGCAGGTATGTTCATGTTTACAAATACGCCGGTAGCACATTCCACTCCCCATTACCTCCTTCTCTGCTCTACTAGTATAAATGAATGGCATGACTCTCAAATTACATATAGTATAACAAAACATAAATCAAAAATTGATCAAACAAGTCAGTCAAATGCAATGACAACAATGCTAATGCTCAAGGCAAACGGGCAACGATAAAACGAAATTATCGGCGAATCAGGCCCATTGTCAAGGAATCAGGCAGAGACGTAAAAAACAGCAGTGCGGGGAAATTATGTACGTAATGGGGGCGGTTGTTCCACGAGTTAGTCGCTTTATTAGAACTACACAATACTTGTATTTGCTGGGTGGTTATTTACTTGTATTTTCTTTTGATGGTCTACAAGAGATAGTAAGGGTTTGCGCTAATTAGCGGCATGTTGACAGACAATTAGTGGGATTTACTTGAACAAATTACAGTGTAATGCGTAAACAAATAATTATTCATTTGAGTGTGACACTAATTTGGATTTGATTTGCAGTCAAAGGTCGTGAATGCTCCACCCATGATGACTGTGGCGCGATAGACCGGACCAGCTGTGTAAAGGATCCGAACGATTATAAAATGCGCTGCCTCTGCGGCGACGATTCCCCGCCCTCCAACGGCCTGTGTCCCGATGTTCTTAAAGGTAAGGAATTTTCAGCTAAACCTGTCCACCAAATTCATGTCACCTGGCTAAGAGGCTTGAGACACGACACACTCGAGAAAAACGGTCGAGAAAATGCAAAGGACCCCAGCATCGGACCTCGTGCTCATCAGCAATGCATGCGCACAAAAACTAATTGTTAGACATACATTTTATTTATTATTTAAGAAGACTTTTTCTTGCTTTTTCTTCCTCTTCTTCTTCGCCCTGCTCTGTTTGTGCACAACTCAAGGGTTGCACCTCCGACCCATAGGGCCCAACACGTCCACAAGTTTACGAATGGGCTTTAGGTGGCCTGCAAGGCAGTTTCAAGGCGCCAAATGAGAATTAAACAAAGCATCCCCATCCTCGGACTACAAACACATATATGTACATATCTACACATATGTTTATTTATTTAGTTTTCGTGTCCTCTTCACACTTGGTTTTGTTGCCATACGTTACTAGTCCCATTGTGCTCTGCTTTTGATTTTGTTGGGGACTCAGCACACAAAAGAGCTATTTGGTAAGACAGTGCCCTTACTAAGTCGACTTCGAAGTCTATTTTGCAGTCCATTGGCCAGCTGAACTACTTAGATCGCTCTCAGAATTAGTGATGGTCCATTTTACAATTATTTTGACATGTTTCGAGTATTCAAAGCAGGTTTCTCACTTTTTACATTCACAATGAAGCAAATGGAAGGAACTTTGCTTCGCATTCAATCAACTTTTCAAAAACATTTCAAAAATGTAGACCACCTCCAAACCTTAAACAGCCGTATGAACTCTTCTCTGGGTACCCTCATACAAGTAGTTAAATGTGTTGAAAAAATTCACAAATACTACTTTAATGTTCTATTATAATTATAAATATCTCAAAATATTGCATGATATTATTTCAATCTTATGTTTTGGTTCGAAAGTTGTGCCTATAAATCATTTGAAGATGACAATCTTAATATTTGTATTGATCATTTTTTGGAATATTTAAAGAGTAGTGTCAAAATCTTGAAGAGACACATTCTTTTTAGAATTTGCTAAAAACTGATTCAAATCTCGAGAAAATGTTGACCTTTATTCTATTCAGTATTTTGATTGATGGATTTTGTTAAATGCATAATAATAAAAGATATAGTATGTAAAAATTAAGAATTAAGTTAAGAACTGGGTGATGTTCTCACAGTAGTATACTAAATTGCATCGAAATCGAATGGAGCAGACCAATCGGAAACAAACATTGAAATTAAAAAAATGTTCGAAAAAATTCTATTTTTGTTATGTCAAAAAGCAAGCGCTAAAGTACTTCGTCTAATTTAAAATGATTGGGTTATTGTAAAGCGAATCTTAAGACAAGTAGCTGAGAATATATTAGAATCTTGAACAAACAGGTAGCTGTTCTAATAAGATATGTGAAGAACTTCATGAAAATAGTAAGACAAAAAAAGTATAAAATAAGAAACTAATAATTGTACATGCTTGTTAATTATAAATAATTTAAATATTCTTGTTTTTCGTAAAACGAAAAAGTTCATTAATAAGTTTAAAATTAAACGACACTTTTCAGTTTCAAACGTTATTAAAAATAATCTTAAGAAATGCTATACTTGTATTCTTTTTACAACAGTACAACAGGAAATTTCAAAAATTTAAGAGGGGAATCACCGTAGAGCATCCCACTTAATCGAGTTTCGGCTAATGGAAAATGTGTATTTTTTTGTTATTAGTTTTCAAAGGTTTTTTTTTTAAATTATACTTTGTGCTTTCGTCTAAGCCATAGATACTATATTATTGAAAGAGTATATAAATACCTTTACGTAGAAAGCGTGTTCTTGATTTAGTATAGCGGGCAAAAAGTGTGAGGGGAAGATTTGTCGAGCTAAAAAGTAGCAGCCGACAAAGTGCTGAAATGAGCAAGGGCCGTCTCTGGGTTTCCTTTATGGGTCGTAATGTCAAATTTATGGAAGCATGCCGTGACAGCAGAGCCAGCAATGCCAATTTGCGACATGCACAGCAAATTGCAAATGTACACTCATACAATATACTCGAGAAATGTTTTTCATACTTCCCTAGCTAAATACATGTTACACATTGCTAAACTATTGTAAATCATATTTTTGGCTGTGGCAGGTCTACGTCACAAATGCATCAGCAACAATGATTGTGAGGATGGCATGGTTTGTCAGTTCGAGAACAACAATCGGACCATTGGAGTTGCCAAGTTCATGTCCAGCAAAACCAAGTTGTGTCTTTGTGACAACGATAACGGCTATGTAGAGGATTTACTGCACGACATCTGTAGTGGCGGTAAGAACTTTAAATTCCTTTAATTCTATAAACATAATACTACAGGTACTTTTTTATTTTACAGCCAATCTGCAAGCAATTGCCAACGTCTTGGTCTCACTCTGTTCTTTGGTAGCGCCGTTCATCATTTCCGCCCATTTGCAGAAACATTTCTAGAAGGCTCCTCACAGCTGAGTCTGAAACTCATGAATGTTGCGTTTACTCCCGTTTAGTGATCCATGAAATGTGCCTCAATAAAACCAAACACATTACTCTATCATCATTTTTTTTAATATGTAATGAGAATCCTTGCAATACCTTGTCTAATGTTCTTCAAATTGTATGTATGCTCACAAAACAGGCTCAGTAAATAGGCTGCTGAATTGGCAGCTCCATAATAATTGCTATATCATCGAATACCCCGCACACAAATTGCTCCTCGTATTGTCCTTTCAAGCGCAAACGTCGTTCTACTTAATGTATGTATAAGTTTCATAAGTACCACCGTAAATTTTATTCGCTTTTCACATGAAACCGCGTATTATAAATAAATATTTACATAATATAGACATTTTATAGATTTCTTTTCAGCTACTAGTCTGTATTTCTACAAATATTAGTAAAAGTCGTTGTTTATAACGCAATTCAATTAGTACGAAAAAAAGATCCTGGCACCATTTTATTGTAATTTTTGTATGTATGTATGTTCAATATTTTACAAAATAAGACAAAATTCTTCAGTGCACTCAAAGCATTAAACTGCTTTAAAAATACAAAATAAATGTCATAACTTTGATTTTTGTACGTATTTAAAGTGAATAAAATTAGCTTTATGCGCTCACAGCCACAAACAATACTTAAGAATACCCATGTAATACCCAAGCAAGCGCCTAGAACTGCAATTTTGTCCCTTCATATGGGTGCGTGCTTAAGCCCAACTGAGTTCAAATCTCTATACATTTTCATCCAATCGAGCGCATTATTTGCACGAACTCGCCTCAGCCAATGCACGCACTTTGCAGAATTGCAGTTCTACGCCTTTGGAAGTAAGCATAATTTATTTTCCATTGAATTCAAATTGTCTGTAGCAGTTATATTTGATTTAAATAAACGTTTGAAAATCATCACAAAAACCTATTCCTTGTGAATTCACAATGGCACAATAACGGTAAAGTATTCAATTAATTGTAATCCATACATTCCCATCTCTAGACTCGGCTTGCGCATCATTAGTTTTCGGCTAAAGTTAAGTTCGCGTTTGTGCCCTCATCTAATTGTCTTTCATCTTATTATCGAGTGAACTATGCAAATTTTTCACAATATATGCGTTTAATTGTGTTAATTAATGCTAGTGTTGTTGAGTGAAAAGCATGCACAACGGTTCGTAAATGCGCTAATTAGTCAAGTGTCATTAAATGGAAAACATGCACAATTGGCGTTAAGCGGCATAGCAATGCAGCGTAAAACAACAAAAAACAAATTGCAAAAACGTGCTCATGAAGGCAAAAACAGCGACGTGGCTTTCATTAATACACAAGAAAAGTAATTTTTGTTTTCTTTTAATATATGTATGTATGGTCATTGCAAGGATCAGCATTAGCATTCATAGTGGTGTACGCGCAAAAAAAAACACAACACAAATATTAAATAATCGCAATGTCGATGTTTATATGTTCTACGGTGGCTGTCTATACTAAACTGTGCTTGCCGCTGCTAAATGTGGTGAATAAAGTATAATGGTAAGTTTTTGCTACCATGCGGTGGAATGGTGAAAATATTTACTCCACAAAGTATGCTTCAAATGTTAAAAAGCAGTTAATTTTTCAAATTTCAACTAAAAGAAATACATTTACAAACAAATATAGTAATATTAAAAATATTTTTCCAATGCATGTAGTTGTGTTTAATTTTATGAACACTGGAAGTCAATCACAGCTTAAACAAAATGTAATAGTTTATGTAAATTGGCAGCAAACATATGTTTACTCGACTACACTTATTTATTTTTACAGTTCGAAACTAAAATTAAACTGCAGATATATATAGCTCTTAGCGAAATTATAACAAAATCGCATAAATTGTGTAACACAGAACTGATTAACTCCCAATTCTAATTACTAGGCAGCATCAACTACCGTTAATTGGATTTTGATACAAAAAAACAAAAAAAAGAAAACAACAAAAAATTCCACAATGGCCAAAAATAAAAGGAGATACCAAAAAGAGCTTAAGAAACCGCTTGGCAAACAACTTCATTGCGTGTCAGTGAGTTATGGCCTAGGACCTCCAACTTGGCAATATTTGGCTGCAATGGCCAGCGCCGACGAGCAGCAGCAGCATAAATTTATGGCCAAACGATAAGCGCCGGCAAACTTTAGGCTGACCAAAATTGGACAAGAAACGTGCGTTGTGGACAACGCTCGCTCTCGGACAGACGGACGGGGCGCGCAAAGTAGAATTTAGTAGCTGTCAAAGACATCAGCTGTGGCAGCGGCAACACCTACAGCGGCAGCACGCGAGGAATGCCGCAGAGGTTGCTGTTCCTGTTGCTGTGTGTGACTCAGGTGGGTGAACAACAGAAACAACAACAATACATTTTCATAAACATAAACATTTTTTCATCTATACCCTATACTGCAAATAAAGGGGTATATTGTGTTTGATATGCAAGAAGAAATGATTGCGTATTGAAGGAAGTAAATATAGCATTGTTTGCCGCTTTCTGTCCTTAATTATCTTTGAAGTGAAATTTGGGCAACTGAACTTTTTTTCAGAACAGTCTGACCAAGTTTTCGACGAAGTAGTTGTGTGCATTATGAATTAGTCATGAATTTTAAATGTTTGGCGCTTGGTACAGAATCCTAGCTGTCGAATCTTGCCTTTCATATTTGTTCTTCATCATACTAATTAGATCAACATCCAAAAAGTCTGAAAACGAAAGGTTTCCGTAAGAGTCTATGTTACTATTTGACACTCTTTTTCAGAACAGTCTGAATCGAACTACAAGTATATATTACGTACACTGTGAATGAGAGATTTCCAAAAGATTATTATGGCCTATTGGAACGAATTGCTAACGTCATGTGAGCTTGTCTGTTAGTTCGTCCGCTTGACCGTCTTAATGTCTGTTTGTCTGCTAGTCGCCTTTTTTGAGCCAATTTATAGTTTAGTGCAGGTAGAAAAAAGTAATGCATAAAATTAAGATTAAAAATCAATAAAATAATTTCAGTATGTTATGGGTTTTTAAGATTACGTATTAAATTACTAGCTGATCTTTTGTTTTTTCAACATGCTTGAGATGTGTGTGTCTTTGTGTTAAAAAATTCGTGAGCATTCTTAATGCAGATACGGCAAATGGCACCTGCAGTCAGTATACTATAGAAGTCTCCCTAGTTCTATTCATACGATACTGTAGTCTTACAACAATCTCTTTTACTTGTACGTCTCCAATCAATTACGTTTACTCCGTTTATTTTTAGGCATTTTAACTAAAACGCATAAAAGATATGGTAAGAAATTAAAGTAAAGAAAACCATCAAAGCTATATATCTAATATAAGTACACATAATTCTGTTCTTACACGGTAGATTGGTTCCAGAAAGAACCGCGTAAAAAAATACATTGATCATATGCAAAAATAGGTGATTGGTTTCTTATCTCTAAATAAATATATATGCAAATTTTAATTTTCTATCCGTGTTATATTAAAATCGTGTCGTAATTTTCTTCCTTTTTTGAAATTCAATGTAGTTTTTTACCTGCGACTGAGAGTATTTGTTAAAAAATACTAAAACGGCAATATTTTTACCAATCAATAATCATAGCTATTCACCAGAAACTAATCATCAATCGCCAATCATCAGTCACAAATCGATATTATCTGGTAAATCCGTCCAATAAAATAAGAAAAGGAATATATTTTAGTGTATTTTTATAGAAAAGAAAGCCATTTACAAGTAAAATCTTGAGGATAATGCAATTTTTTGCACAAATTCGATAATTTATTTGTTTGTAATAATATATTATTAGTGGTATATTCTGTTTGTGAGACTCACGAAAAGTTCTCCAATCTTATATGCATTGCTTATGAATTTTCTCCCGGTTCAGGAATATGCTGTTTACAGGTTTCTCCTCAGTCTTGAGTGAGTTGCTGGCATATGCATTTTTCCAGAGCTCCAGATGCTATACCTACTATGGGACTTGATGTGCCAGTTGAGTTATAAGATTTTCCCTATTTAGCACTAGCCTTAGGAATTTTTCTTAGACTTGGAATTGTTTACTGATAGAGAACATTTTGAAACAATGAGGAAGTTATACAATTTAAGAGTGTAGAAGAGTATTTAATTTTGGCTTGGCCGAAGTGTTGAAGGTGTTCCTTTTTGTCTTTTTTGGGCCTGGCCAAAAAACTTTGCGTGCAAATGGCGAAAATGCCACAGACCCCCAAGTCTTGTTGGCTGGCCTGTGACTTTATAAGACTTTATAAGGCTCTCTGTCGTTGCAAGTACGTATAAAACTACAAGAGCCTGTCAAGCGGTTTTAGCCAGGCTCATTGGCAGCTTTATTGGCCAACTCGTGTACGTGTGTGGCCAGTGAGTGGCTGGTGGTACGCTTGCCTGCCCAGTGGCATCCATTGGACTGGCATACCAATCATAACTTTAAATATGAATCAAGCATCTGCTTGGAGCATCTCGTTAGCTGGCCTGTTGGCGCGAAAAGCACATGCCGCAACAAAATGTAAAACAGTTTATAGTTTTAACAAGGCCCAACACATGAAATTAGACTGCACCGATGCACGTCCTCTGATAGTTGGGGAGCAGCTAAAGCCGAGGCCGAGGCCGAAGCCAGAGCCAAAGTCATAGCCAGAGCGGCAACTGTTCGTTCGTGCCTGTGCTTTAGATTCTCGGCAAAAAGAGGCAACTTTATGGCCTGGTCTAATTAACATATTCAAATATTTGTCGCATTGTTTGCAACTTTTTGCCAATGCTTCCCATGAACTTCATCGTCGACTGCTTCATCTCCACTGCTCTGCTCCGCTCTGCTGTGGTGTGCGGTGCTCGGCGATACTTCAGTTGGGTTGTGTTTATTGAAAAACCATTTTACGGTTTCATGCTTGCAAGTCGTTGCGCCAACGCTCCTTCATGGCCACACCACACCACGCCAGACCAGACCAGAGCAGATCAGACCAGACCGGGCCACGCCATGCCACGCCCCTGCCCCGGCTGTCCATTGTGCAGCATCTTCTTCTTATTCATCGTCATCTCGGTCTTCTTCT